TATATATATAGATCCTACTATTCCTTGAATGGATGCATATCACTTGGAAACTAGCACCCACCACTGGCCAAATGTGGGTAAAATTATGAAGTGGCATGTAGATCTGAACAACTCACCCACCACCGTGGCGGGTGTGTAATGAAAAAAAAATGTGTTCGCATCCTACTATTGACATTTTTCAAAAACTTGTTCATTTTTATTTTGCATTTCAGAGCCTGTAGGTCTTTAAACATTAAATAACATCAAACAACCATCTTCCAACCCGCTCTGCAGCTGTCATGTAGATTAAGAGGCTCATTATACAGGTAAACAGGTAAACGTCCGATTATCAGAAGGAAAAAATAAAAACGCCAACTTTAATGTGACGTTACATGTCTGGAGTTAATCGGGCTGCAGGTAACAAAACTCTTTCTCAAGAGGAACCAAAGGAAGAACTGAAAGTTACAGGTTTGTTTTAACAATAAATGGAAAGGAAAACAAAAAGACGGTGGAGAGTTTAACAGGTCAGTCAATTTTGTTTCATCTGTCGGCAAACAGCAAAGCTAGAGCTGTAGGCTGGCATCGAGCAAAAACCTGAAATCAGCTGATTAAAAACACTACTTCTAACTGCCGATGTGTGCACATTACATAAATGTTAGTTTAAAAAAACTTCATATTAGTTGTTAAATATTTTAACTCTATAACCATGATCACTTTGATTGACCAAAGGAAACTTAAGGAAAAACTGTTTTATAACCTCCAAGAAATGTCTGAAGATAAACTGACTATGCCAAAACAAATACAATAAAATATAATAAGTAAATAAATAAACAAACAAATAAATAAATAAAAATTCAGCTCCTTTTTTTCCCCTTTACTTTTCTCTGCAGGCTATTTTTTGATGCAGAACAAAACAAAAACCCAGGCAAACTACGTGACAAAATGAACCTTGTGACATGAACTTTTTCCAAAGTAAAAATAGAAATGATCCCCTCTGAGACAATGGATCATCAGAGGGATTTCATCTGTTACTGAAATCTCAGAACAGAAGAAAGACACATATTCATACTAGTAGCCTATAGAACCAAAACTACAATGATAAAAGACAAAGGCTAATTTTATTAAATGAAGGAGATACATTTAGTAATTTAGTTGTAAGATAATTTAATTTGTTTTTTCACCTTAAAAATTTCTCCTAAATTATTAAGGTTAAAAAGCTATTTTTTCCAGCCAAGTAGCCTACCTAAAAATAACTGGTATTCCACCTACACACCAGCAAAAAGCAAGTTAGTAAGAAAAGTAGAGACGCCAAAAAGTCTTATCATTTTCATTTTTGGCAAACAGGCTGACTTGAAATACTCTGAGACACTAATAGATTTTGAGTGCTATTATCTGATTATAGACACAAATAATATAATTAGGCCACCAGGACCATGAATTGTCTAAATGCCACCGTGTTACAGAAACTAAAAATAGTGGCTGGTAAAAAGTTTGAGTGGCCGGTATAAAACTTTTTCTACCAGCCACTGTGGCTTGTGTGGAATTTTTTTAATTTCCACCCCTGCTTGCCACCTTTCATGCCAGAGTTTTGAAACTAAGAACATCTTGAGACATGACGGAGCTGGTTGTTTTTAGTTGAACCTTGAAAATGACAATAAATTAAACACAATTCTGTGAGATGAGTTGGCTCTCGGAGTATGTATCTGTATTATCTCACAATTACATTCTCAAAGTGTCATTAAAATTCATTCCATGCTTTATGAGAATTTCAGTTTACAGAGTTGACTCCAAGAGGTAATAGTAAAAGTTGTAAACATGTTAGGGATGACTTTCAGCTACGACCATACCAACGTTTTGCTCCATATCTGTAAAATAGACAGAATCATTGATGGGATGGACATCTTGATTTTGATTGACTCAAAAGTTGATCAGTTGTAGATGTACATCCAAGAATTACTTTGAGTTTCATTGACACCATTGTGCTCCAGGCTCATTGTATGTGGAGTAAATTTGAACTGATTGCATGTATTTTATGTTTTCAGATGAGATCAACTGGCCAGAAGGAGAGGATGCTCCACCTCCTGATGCTCAGGAGCTTATCACCCTGCTGCTGAGACAGAACCCTCTGGAAAGGATGGGCACAGGTGAGAACAAAGGAGAAAGTGGAACAGAGTCTCTGAGAGGTCCAAAGGGACAACAGGCCACCTCAGCAGTTCTCATTATTCCAAGGCACTGGGGGACAAAATGAGGTCATCCTGCTTCTGTGCCGTTTCTTCTGTGATCTACTGACCTCCATGGTTTGATCAGTTGCAATTACTCCTTCATAGTCCGTGTATCTAATTCCACGCATGGTCAGCCACTGTGAGGATGTGCAAATTGTAAAAGTAACCTGACCTGGAACAAAACACTTCTTATCACCTTGACACACAGACGTTCAGTCTGAGGACAGCTGCAGTTTACAAACATCTTTTTTTTTTTTTTTTTTACAAAAACTCATACGATGCAAAGTCTAATACTAAGTTCATGGTCATTTCTGGTTTGACCTGCAGACAAAAAGACGTGGAATGAAATGCATTTATTCACCTCATGTGTTTAACTGAAGTGTTCAAGTTGTGTGTGTGTGTTTCATGTGTGCATTTGTCCCAAAAATCTGTTCTTAGGTGGAGCCTCTGAAGTCAAGCAGCATCAGTTTTTCTACAACCTGGACTGGAATGGTCTGCTGAGGCAGAAGGCAGAGTTTATTCCTCAGCTGGAGTCTGAAGACGACACAAGCTACTTCGACAGTGAGTTACCAGCTAGTGAGAAAAGAAAAAAGGTTTTATAATTTATTTATCATGTTTTCAGCACTTGGTGTGTTTTTTTGAAAGCATTAAAAACATTTAAGAAATCAATAAGTCCTTTCAAAAGACAAATAGAAGTTATGTTTCTGTTGTTTGCATCTAGTCCAGTTTATTTTACTCAGTCAGTGTGACTCACCAGTGGAAGCAATGCTGTCAGAGGTCTTTTTATGAGCACTTATTATTTATGTCAAAGGACAACTGGTTCATGAATAAAGCTGTAATCTCTTTTACAAGCAGCTGTTCAAAAGCAGGAAGCCTAGAAGATGAGCCAAAGTTTACACAAACAAACCACGTGTCTCCTAGTGTCCCAGTATATTGTTGACTAATTCATGATTAAAACTTAAATCATTGACAGTCTGTACAAGAAAGTTAGGTTTTCTAAGTTATTTAAAACAATACTATAATTGCTTAGCCTGGCCCTTGCCTTCCTATGCAGTTGCCACTCAATTCTAGTTTCACTTCACTGCTCCGTCTGGGATTTCTCTTAGACAAGGATTTCTTCAGGAGAATTTTTGTCCGGGCCAATCAGAGAACAGAACATCGATTTTCTGCACAGTGTCTGCTAGTTATTTTAGCATACGGCAGTGGAGGAAGTGAATGAAGCCAGTCTGTGTTGATAAGGCTTCCAAATTAAATTAAATTTGTCTGACAAAGCAGCAGCTCTCATTTACAGTCGTCTCGTTCAGCTCAGTAATTTTCTCTCAGTAGGGTTGTTTACAGAGCACGCGATTTCCAGTTAGCTTCTTAGCTTAGCCTCCTTCACAGTGGAGCTGGCACACATACAGTGGGTAAAATAAGTATTGAACACGTCGCCATTTTTCTCAGTAAATATATTACTAGAGGTGCTAATGACATGAAATTTTCACCAGATGTTGGTAACAACCCAAGTGATCCAAACATACAAAGAAATCAAACCATAAATGTCCAGAAATGAAGTTATTTGTAATAATGTGGAATGGCACAGGGAAAAGTATTGAACACATGAAGAAAGGGAGGTGTAAAAAGGCATGGAAAGCCAAGACACCAGCTGAACTCTCTCAGTAATTAGAAAGCAAGCCTGCCCCTTGTCAGTGCAAGTTAATATCAGCTGGTTCAGTCCCAAATGATGGCCAGGTATCACACAAGAACCATCTGATGATGGGTAAAAGTAAAGAGCTCTCTCAAGACCTTCACAACCTTATTGTTGCAAAGCATAATGATGGCATCGGTTACAGAAGAATGTCTAAACTTCTGAAGGTTCCAGTGAGCACTGTTGGGGCCATAATTCAGAAGTGGAAAGAACATTATTTCACCATAAACCGACCACGACCAGGTGCTCCTCACAAGATTTCTGACAGAGGAGTGAAAAGAATTATSAGAAGAGTTGTCCAAGAGCCAAGGACCACTTGTGGAGATCTTCAGAAAGACCTGGAATTAGCAGGTACGTTTACATTACCATACAGGAGGCGTCTTGAAGCTGTCATTGCCAACAAAGGTTTATGTACAAAGTATTAGATAAATTTCAGTAAGTGTGTTCAATACTTTTTCCCTGTGCCATTCCACATTATTACAAATAACTTCATTTCTGGACATTTATGGTTTGATTTCTTTGTATGTATGGATCACTTGGGTTGTTACCAACATCTGGTGAAAATTTCATGTCATTAGCACCTCTAGTAATATATTTACTGAGAACAATGGTAACGTGTTCAATACTTATTTTACCTGCTGTACATCGTGGCCAACCGATCCAATCATTTTAAACTTCAGCAGAGGCCACGCCTCCAGCAAGAATCACTTCTCTGTAGCTGAGAGTCCAGACCCTCGTATGAAGCGAAGTGAAGGACGAGGGTCTGGTATTTACCAGGCTAATGATTGCTAGAAATCACAGATTTTTTTTTAAAGTTGTAACCTGACTTTGAGTTATAATTAATTATAATATAAATGGTAAATGGACTGTACTTGTATAGCACTTTTCTATCCATCCAGGACACTCAAAGCTCTTCACACTACAATCTGTGTCCTCATTTACCCGTTCACACAGCACTCTATTAGATCTCCTACAAAGCTAACATATACAATCAGCTATGGAGACTAATCAGTGCCAATCACATTCATACACTGATGGGACACATCAGAGGCATTAGGGCTGAAGTATCTTATCCAAGGACACAACGACTGAGACAGCTGGACAGGGAATCGAACCAGAAAACCTTCCGACTCCAGGACGACTCCCCTAACCACTCTGCCACAGCCGGCCAAAGTATAAATATATACTTAAATAATAAGTAATATTGTTCCTAATATAGCAAATTAGGACTTGATGCGATATTTTGCTAACAGACAGCGAGAGTTGACTCCAAACAGATAATGGCAAAATTTAAACAACATTCTCTCTGTTTATTTAGTAGATGTGTTTTAGTTCAGTTTCTGCTGCTTTCACACCAACATTCAGGTTGAGCCAGTTTAATGTTTTTAGCTGAGGCAGCCATTTTGAGTGTTTTAACTTCAAAAGTGAATTAGTTGTAGATGTTTCATTAAAATGTATCTTGTACTTCAGTAGATATTTTGCAAGCAACTCCATGAACACAGAGAAATAAAACCTTATTGTCCACCTTTGGAGACAGAGGATGAAAGCAAAGTGAAATGTAAACCTCCTGTCCTTCAGCTCGCTCTGAGAGATACCATCACCTGGAGGCTGAGGAAGATGACACAAATGATGAAGACTTCAACGTGGATCTGCGGCAGTTCTCCTCTTGCTCTCATCGATTCTCTAAGGTGTGTCCTTAATCTCCCTCTACAGATTGTTGCAGTCTCATGTTAATATGTAAGCATCATCATCACTGCCAGAGCCATTAGTGATGGAAATGAGCTGATGGCCTCATCTGTCCTCATCTTTTCCTCCTGGGAAAGGAAGAATAAGTACTTGGTGTTTCATATGGAAATCTGCGTCTGGAAACCTTGGTTTCACTCCTCCTTGCCCCTCGCAGTATTAAACATTGATTTGAGCTTTGCATTCATTTTCTGCTCTCAAATTACCGTATTTATTCAAGTATAATACATAAAATTTAATCCATAAAATCATCCATAAAGTTGGGGGGTAGTACTATACTCTGATAAATATTTTTACTTATGTACCTGTGACACTTATCCGTGCTTTAGAGCGAGGTAGTAACAGATCCAGGCAGGAGACACGATGTGAAAAAAAGGGGGGTAAAGCAGTCCTGTACCTTAGTGCAGGACTGCTTTAATGATAACAAACTAATGACATTAGTGTGTGACCGAGCCGCTCCTCAAACAACAACAAACACATGTTCATCTGTAATGGCTGCCGTCTGCCGGTGTTCTGAAAAAGTTTGTATCCCTGAAAAATGTTTCCCCACCAGAGGGGGCGCTCGCGAGAAGGAAGTTGTCAGCTTGTATCTGCTTGAAGATGGTTCAAATCTCATGTGAAGTCTCTGACTTTTGTGTTGGCGCCTCCTGGTGGACTATGTGTAAAATGCCAGAATTCATATGATGCTGCTACATCTGATATATATTTGTCAAAATACCTTTTAGTACATATGTTGCTGAAATAAAATGATCATTTTACTGAAATGTATAAAGACTGCAAAGGCTGAAAAATCTTGAAGTCTGTATGAAATTGGAGGTAGTTTGAGGATTAAATTTTTTATGCTTTTTAAGTAAAAAAAAAAGGGGGCAGTCATTTTATACGTGAGATCGTATTATACATGAATAAATATGGTAGGTTTGTTAGCAGCGGTGTGTGAACAGTACACAGCACAGTCCTTCCAGCTGGGAGTCATGCTGCATTGCAGTCTGCTCCTCTCTCACATGAAGACGAAACGTTACAGCAGGTCTCAGAAGCAGCAGTCTGTCTCAGTGTTGAGCTACGCCAAATCTTTTCTCTCAGCTGCAACTAAACTCTGAGACATGCGATAACACACGAAGCGTTATGTGATGAAACATCGCAGTGACTGTTCAGTATTTAATCTTTACAGTGCATTTACTGTTTTTTTTTTAATCTCTGAGAATTTACCGTCATTTTGCAACTTGATCTATGTGTACTGAAGTGAATGATTGCTGGTTGTCAGGTTTACAGCAGCCTGGATTTGTCTCGAGGACATCTGGAGGAGAAAGGAGAGGCGGAGGAGAAGAAGAGTGAGAGCCCGCTGACTGTGGACTCTCTCAGCTGGACGCCAGACTTCACTGAAATGTATGAGTAGCTCCACCTCTAATGAAATAGAGTAGCAGGAGTTATTGAAACACTTGAGTTTAAATAAAAGCAGATTGGATTTAAAGATTAGCATCTCTTGAAGGAAGGTAGATCACTCACCGCATCACATGCCAGAGTTTTAAACTAAACATCTTATAAGGAGGGACAGAGTTCCATCCATGTTGTCAAACTTTAAAATATCATTGTGTGCAATGTTCAGTCATAATGTGAGATTGGCAAGATCTGTTTGTTTGACCTGTCCAGGGTGTAGAAGGACACCAGTGACCTCTGCAGTAAAGATAATGGATAGTTTGAGTTTATACTGAGGACGACTCTCAGTGATTACAGTATCAAACTTAATCTCAATATCAGTGCACGTAGCAGACATCTTTAACTGGATTGATTCCAAAAGACAATCAGGTGTAGATTTAAGCTAGATTTACAGGTGCTGGTCATAAAATTAGAATATCATGAAAAAGTAGAYTTATTTCAGTAATTCCATTTAAAAAGTGAAACTTGTATATTATATTCATACATTACATACAAACTCATATTTCAAATGTTTATTTCGATTAATTTTGATGATTACAAATGACAACAAATGAAAATCTCAAATTCAGCAT